CTTTCTTGGTAGAGGGCCCCATGGACATGGGCTGTGGCGAAGGCATACCGGCTGTCAGTGTAGATGTTTACTGACTTGCCTTTCGCCCATCTTAAAGCCTGAGTTAGAGCAATTAGTTCAGCCCTCTGAGCTGAAGTCTCGTGCCCTAGTGCCTGGGCCCAGATGACCTTATCTTGTGTGACAACCACCACTCCCGCATATTGGACTCCTTCCCAGATGAAGCTGCTCCCATTTGTATAGAGAGCATGCTCTGGAGTTGGGAGAGGGTTGTCAGTTAGGTCAGACCTCAGGTTAGTTAGAGTCTCAAGAATGTCTGAGCAATCACGAAGGGGAGCCTGAGGGTCATCGTTAGGCAGCAGGGTAGCTGGATTGAGAGCAGAGGTCTTCAGGAACTGGATTCGGGAGGAGTCTAAGAGGAGTACCTGGTATTGGGTGATTCGGGCATTAGACATCCACCAGTCTGGAGGGCTCCTGAGGAGAGCCTCAACAGAGTGTGCCCCAATAATCTGGAGGTCTTACCCTAAGGTTAGCTTTGATGCTTCTTTAACTAAAATAGCAGTAGCTGCTATGGCCCGCAGGCAACTGGGCCAGCCGGAGGCTACCGAGTCTAATCTCTTAGATAAGTAGGCAACTGGTCTCTTCCAGGGCCCTAATGATTGGGTTAGGACCCCTTTGGCAATGCCTTGAATCTCAGAGACAAGAGCTGAAAGGGCTTAGTGATATCAGGCAGAGCTAGGGCTGATGCAGACATTAAGGGCATTTTTAGTTTCTCAAAGGCCTGTTGTTCTATCTCAGTCCAGATTAAGGCATTGTCTCCCCCCCCTGTGCTCACATAGGGAGGCGTAGCCATCTCTGCAAAGCTAGAGATCCAGAGGCGGCAGTACCCTACAGCCCCAAGAAATTCCTGAACCTGACTCTTGGTCATGGGGGTAGGGATTTTCATGATAGCCTCTATCCTGCTATTGGGGAGCGACCGTTTTCTTTCTTTGAGTTCATAACCTAGGTAGGTTGAGGTGGTGGTGCATAATTGAGCTTTCTTGGCTGAGACCCGATATCCTAAGTGTTCTAACTCTAGTAGGAGTGCCTTCGAGGCCTCCTCACATTCAAGAAGAGAAGCGGCTGCTAGAAGCAAATCATCTACGTACTGTAACAGGGTGACGTGTTGGTACCTTTCCCGGAACAGTTGGAGGTCCTTGCTTAAGGCCTCATCGAAGATGGTGGGAGAGTTCTTGAAACCTTGAGGCAGTCAGGTCCAGGTCAGTTGTCCTGAGAATCCCCTTTCCGGGTCAACCCATTTGAAGGCAAAGATGGATTGGCTGAGAGGCGATAAAGGAATTGAAAAGAAGGCGTCCTTGAGGTCCAAGACAGTATAGTAAACACGGTTAGGAGGGATTGGGCTCAGAAGCGTGTAAGGGTTCGGAACCGTGGGGTGGATGGTTCCACCCAAGTGTTTACTTCCCTTAAATCTTGGACTGGCCTAAAATCCTCAGTTCCAAACTTCTTAACCAGCAAGAGGGGAGTGTTCCAGGCCAACTGGCAAGGCTTTAAAATTCCAGCTTCTCTGAGTCTATTAATATGCGTAGTTATTCCTAGTTTGGCCTTTATGGAGATCGGGTATTGGCAGATGAGGTCCTTAGGTTTCTGTTGGGCCCCCCTCTTAGGGCAGTCCATTTTCCAATGACCATATTCTTTGCAGTAGGCACATTGGTTAGGGTCAAGAAGTAGCGAGATTGTTGCCTTAGGTCTCCGTGGGGTTGGCCCTATGTTCTTAGGCCTATTTCCTCGTTGCCCTTTTTGATTCTCTTGAAGAGCGGCTATGATTACTCTTGTGACTTTTTTAGTACTGGCCATTTCTGGGTTGTCCCGGTTGTTAAATACTCTCTGAGCTATTTCAACTAACTCACTAAGATTCTTTCCTTCAAAATCCTCTAATTTCTGGAGTTTCTTCCTAATGTCTGGGGCCGACTGGGTGACAAAGCAATATTAATTGCCCGTCTATTCTCAGGGGCCTCCCGGTCTATGGGAGTAAAGAGGCGATAAGCCTCCATGAGACATTCAAGAAAGGCCGCTGGGAATTCTGCAGTTTGAACAGTCTCGCTTGCCTTAGACAGATTAGTTGGCTTTTTGGCTGCTCCACGGAGGCCCTGAAGTAGAGATCAGTGATACCGGTTTAAAGCCTCCTTTCCTTGATCAGTGTTCGGGTCCCAATTGGGTTGGGTAGTTGGGAGGTAGGCTGCTATTTGGGCCGGATCTGTGAGGGGTTGGCCGTCTGGCCTGAGGACGGATATTGCTGCCTCTCCTCGGAGGTGAACAGGACCTGCAACAATTGCTGACAGTCATCCCAAGTGGGCCAATGGGTATGGAAGACTGTCTCTAGGAGAGAGATTAAACCTTGGGGTTTATCAGAGAAGGAAGGGTTCTGTTGTTTCCAAGTATACAGGTCGCTAGTTGAGAAGGGGACATAAACCATGAAGGGCCGAGTCTGGTCTCCACCTGGTGGTGGAGCAACCTGACGGAGGGGCAGGATGGCAGCCAAGGAGTCTGGCGCCTGTGGAGGAGGGTTATAAGGGGGTGCCGCCATGTGTATGGGAAGGACTGAGCAGCTGAAGGGCTTCAGCCTCTCCGGCCACTGCAGCAGCAGCAGCAGGTGGCAGAGACCAATAAGGGGGTGGCCCCACAGGGTCAGTGAGGGGATCTTCTGGGGGACCTGAAAGAACAGGGTAAAGCCTTTGGGAGAGAGCAGGAGCCGAGGGCTTCTGAGGCTTCTGCAGAAGCTGGGCAATTAAAATCTTCTCCCTATTAGGGCTCGAACATTTCTTAATATAATTAGGGTTGTCAGTAGCTATGTCAATCCAAATATCAATGTAAGGAGTTTTGTCTGGGTGTCTGGGAGTCCCGTAGATGACGCCTCAAACTGCAAACAAAGAGCTTAAGTCAAAAGTGTCCTGGGAGGGCCAATTGACCTGGAAAGTGGGCCACTCCAATTCACACAAAGTGCGCAAGAATCCAGGGTCTACTGAAGTGCTGTAACCTGAGGTGCGCTTGGAAAAGTCTGAGAAGTTATTAAGGAGACATTGAAGAGGGGTCCTAGGTCCTGAAGGTCCCTGACCGATTTTGAAGGACACAGGCTGGCACAGCACAAAAACACAAAACACAAAAGGACAAATAAGACAGACAAAAAAACCAGACAAACCGAACCGGGGCCAAAAGCAAGGTCTCACTATGGCCCTGGGGCTGGATCTATGTGCTGCATCCAGCAGATCCACTTCCCCTTACTCTGCAGAGTTTTTCAGAAACAGACTTACTGAGGGACGTCTCATCTGCTGAACCGAACCTGGGCCCAGGGTTTCCAGATGCCCTCTAGATGGAATTTTGGAGTGGAGACAATTCCAGGGCAGAATGGCGTCCGCGGAGGAATGTCTCTCCGAGGCCTTCCCCTAGACCGCCCGTTCGCTCCTGGGATGGATCTGTCTCCCGGAGTCTGAGGAGGTCAACCCACCGAAGTGGGGGACCTCATTTTTCTATCTTGCTGGGGCCTCCAAACGTTGTAGACCAACGAGACAGACCAGACTCGTACTCCGAACTAGGTTCAAATTAAGAGAGCTTTATTAGCCACGTGGTGACTGTCCCATCCTACACAGAGGAGAGAGCAGCCCCGAGCTCAGGGGGTAGGTTGCTTATATAGTTGACTTAGCCACTGTTAAGGAATTTGGGTTAAGGGTATGCTAGCAAGCAAGCAAGCACAGAAGCAGATATTTGCAGTTAGCTATTATGCCTGAGGGCATAATCAGTTTCTGTGTACAAAGCAATGGTTATCTATACAATGCAGTGGTTATCTATTAGCAGATAGTTCTTGCCATTCCCTTAAAATCCAGGGGCAAGGTCATGTGTTTGTCCTTTACAGAGCCAGGTCTACCACTGTCTGGTGTTCTACCCAGGGCCACCAGGCATAAGCTACAGAGCAGTCTGCAGATGGCTGCTTCTTGTTCTGGGCTTGGAGGTGCCCAGGAAAAGTCATGTTGTGAACCAAGGCTGGCTGCTTCTAGTGCCAGGCCTGGGGCCACTTAACGAGAGGTATGGGGTTTGCTGATACCAGATGCTGCTTATTTGAAAGAATTTAGGAAAATCTGAAGCAGGATCAGAGAGAGGCCATTCCTTTGGTAAAACTGGCAATAGCTTGGGTGGGCCTGAAAGTTGGGTGGGGCAGGGCCTCAGGGAGTCACCAGGGTGGGGCAAATAGTGTAAGCCAGGATGCTGGAATCCCAGATATGGCAATCATCTGCCTGGCCTGTGGGGGAAGGGCTCACCAAAGGAACAAAGGCCTCTGACGGCATGTTTGTCTAGGAGAAAGCTGCCTCTACAGCCTTGCCCCAATGTCAAACAATTCAGTTCTTCCCCATATGTCTTTGGTACCTTTCGAGCTGCCTCTCCCATGCTGGATCCTGGAGGGTACGAGTCTGAGTAAGTTTGTGCACGGGCCCTTTAAGAGGACCTGCCTGGAGCTTCAGCAGTGTCAGCCTCCTCAATCTCAGTTCCTGCTGGCTTTTTTAGGCAGAAGTTATGGGGACTTCTCTTCCTGGCACTGGAATCCTGAGCTAGCGGTCTGGTATGGGAGGGGGACCCCTCAATCCTCAGGGAGGACCTTCACAGCCAAGGTGACCCTCCTGACTTTTACTTGCCACACGTGGATGTGGGACCAGCCCGTCCGGCTTCCATCCCTCCTACCAGTCCCCATGTGTTTGCTTCTTTAATTTCGTAGTTGTAGGACTTTCATGCAGCTCAGTTTCAGGCAGTTTGGAATGATGTTTATTCTGTAGGCTAGTTGTAACTTTGATGTGGTTGCGGGAGGACACGATACCACGTTTAACTACGCCACTATCTTGACCGGAAGTCTACTAGTTTTATGTATTTAAATGAGGTGCTTCTCTTCAGCTTCTGTGTTCAAATATAGGTGGCCATTGGCATTTATTTTCATCTTTTTTTTTAATGTAAGCAGAGAAAATGACTGCTGGTTCAGTGTGTGTTCCTCAGATCATACCACTGCGAGTGCCTCAGCCTGGAAAAGCCAACCATGAAATTAGTAACAATACACTTTTGGAAATGAAATCAGGTAAGAATCAAGCATACTTGAAATGTTTTATCATCCTCACCCGAGGATATTTTTCCATTTTTTGTACAGATAGAGTGGGAGGGAGAGAGAGGAAGGGAGAGAGAGAGAGAAACATCGACGTGAAGGGACACATCGAGTGGCTGCCACCCGCACGACCAACCAGGGTCGGGGACAAACTGCAACCGAAGTACGTGCCCTTAGCGGGAACCGAACCCGGGTCTCTCCGGACCGCAGGCCAACGCTCTAACCGCTGAGCCAAACGAGCCAGGGCCATACTTGAAATGTTTTAAAATAACATGGCCATACTCTTTATGTTCATCTGATTGTTGATTTTCTTCTTTCCATGTTTTCTGTAATCAGGACTTTGGCAAGTTTATAAAACTTCCAAAATTTGCAACAGTGTTATACTTGGCGGTTTATAGAATGGTGTATATTTAGATTGAAATGATTAGCTTTGACTACCCTTTCATTTGTATAGCTACATAATTGCAGCAATGCCTTGACTCACCTTAGTACAGGTTAAGATGTCCCAGTACTTCCTGAAATAGTCTCAGGATGCTCATTATTTGCTGGGATAATAAATCTGACCTAACACAGACTCTCCACTCAAATTGGAGATTGAATGAATTCTGGCTTTGACAACTTCTTGTGATTTCTGCTATATTATTTAGCCCTTCTGAGTCTCAGTTTTCTCATAAGATAGTGATGATAATATTTACCACTTAGAGCCACTGTGAGGTTTAAATGAGTTGATGTGAAGTATGCAGGGTCTGGCATGTAGTAATGCCAAAATAAATCTTAGCTGTTATTATAGAAATAAGCAGTGAATATGTTTTCTATTAATGCCAGAAGTAGGAATACACACACACACACACACACACACATACACACACACATATACATACACATATATATTTACATATGCACATGTATAATATAAGGAGGAGGGAAAGTTTTATAGATAAAATATATAAACAAATACTTGTCTAAAACAGACTTTGAGATTCCAATATACTTTATTAATTGATATGAATAAAAATGATCTGTTTTTATGTTATGACCCCTGTGCTTCCTAGGCCGAGAGTTTCAACTAAAAATATATTACATTATGCTATGTCTCCCTTTATTTTAAAAACTAATATGTTTTTAAAATTCTCAAAGCACGCCCGGCTGGTGTGGCTCAGTGGTTGAGCATCGACCCATGCACTAAGAGATCATTGGTTCAATTCCCCGTCAGGGCACATGGCCAGGTTGTGGGCCTGATCCCCACTTGGGGGCATGTAGGAGGTGGCCAATCAATGTTCTCTCTCATTGATGTTTTCATCTCTCTCTCCCTCTCCCTTACTGTGTCTCTAATATATCAATAAAGAAAAATTTTTTTTTTTTAAATTCTCAAAGCAAAATACAAATTTTAATATATGTGCCCATGACTCTTAGAAGTTGGATGGTTATTGACAAGTGATGATATGAATAAGAGGGTATTCAAATGATCTAATATTTAAAATGTCTAATAAATAAGAGGTTCTATAATTCAGTAACAAAAAGCGTAATAATAACCCAATAAAAATTGACAAAGATTGTGAAAGGACATTTTATAGGAAAGGATATATAAGTGTATCTTAAACATGTGAGAATATGCTTCTACCTACCCCTTTACTTATTGCTGAGCAGACCTAATCCCTTGCTTTATTTACTCCATTGCATTTACTTAGCATTCAACAGATTGTATATCATTTTTTTTGTTTGTTTACTATTTGTGTGTTCTTTCTAAAATGGAAGCTCCTTGAGAGCAGGGACCTTGCTCACTAATGTATCCCCAGTGCCTAAAACAGTGTCTGGCACATAATGGGTACTTGGTAACTATCTGTTGAAGAAGTGAAAGAATCTTACTCAAAATGTAATTAAAACTACAAGATACTTTTTTTTTTTTTTTTACCTGATAGATTGGCAAAAATAAAATAAAAATTGACAGCACATGCAGTTGCTGAGACTGTGGGTGAATAGGCACTTTCATGAATTGTTTCAGCATCCATGGAGGGAAGTTTGGCAATATTAACCCAAAGTACAAATGCATGTATCTTTTGACTCAACAGTGCTAGTTCTACATATTTTACAAATATACTTAAAAGAAGTTTTTTCAATGTTATTCATTACAGTGCTTGTAATGAAAAATAAAGAGAAAACATTTAGATGTCCATCTGTAGAGGGTTGGTTAAATTATGGTTTATCTATATAAGCCAGAGAATATGATACAGCCATAACAAAGAAAGGCATACTCTTTACATGCATATAAAACAATATCCAAGATATATTGTTAAATGAAAAAATAAATGTGTGGAACAGGGTATGATATGCCACATTTGTATAAAAAGAGTAAGGGAAATCAGATACATTTATGGGCCCTGGCTGATTTGGCTCAGCGGTTAGAGTGTTGGCCTATGGACCAGAGAGTCCTGGGTTTAGTTCCTGCTAAGGGTATGTACCTCTGTTGCAGTTTGTTCCGGGCCCTGGTCGAGGTCGTGTGGGTGGCAGCCAGTCAATGTGTCTCTCTCACATCCATGTTTCTCTCTGTCTCCCTCCCTCTCTCCCTCCTGCTCTGTCTGATGATAAATGCAAAAATGTCCTTGGGTGAGGATAAAAAAAAGATACATTTATGCCCGTTATGGATGTTTTGAAAGGATACTCAAGATTTCATTAATTGCCTTTGGGCAGCTGATGTTAGGAGTGGGAAGGAGAACTTTAATTATATATCATTTTTTGACATTTTGAATCTTGACTTATATGAATTTATTACCTTTAAAAATATTCGAAGAAGTGTAGGAATGAATAATTTACCAAGTCCAAAAAATATATAAAAGCATGTCTTAAGCAATGCTCAAAAAAAGAAAATTTAGCTCCTACTTTGTAAATGGCTCTTCTTAAAATAGGCACCTACTCTATTTGTATCAATGCCCCATTGGAGATGCAGAATAGCATAGTGGTTCAAGAACATGTGCTATGGATCCAAATGAGCAGAAGTCAAACCACAACTCTGCTGTTATTTAACAGATTTCTTAACCTCTCTGGGACTCAGATTCCTCATCTATAAAGTGGGTATAAAATAGGATCTCTCTAATAGGGTTGTACAGAAGAAATGAGTTTATTCATGTAAGGCACAGTGAGTAGCATAGAGATGGAATTCAATTATTGTTATTGGTATTTATTTCTACAATATATAAAAAAATCTCATTAAATAACTGACCTATCGGCATTATTCAAGGACTTGTTACTTAAGTATTAATGATAGTTATCCTGTTTTGGGTTTTTCAGATACTCCAGATGTCAACATATATTATACCCTGGATGGCAGCAAGCCTGAATTTCTAAAGAGAATTGGTTATGGTGAAAATAATACGTTTAAGTATACAAAGCCTATTAGTCTGCCTGATGGAAAAATACAAGTTAAAGCTATTGCAGTCTCTAAGTAAGTTAAGAGCATGGTGATTAAAATAATTTACAATATAATGATGTTTTACTTTTATTTCTTTCTGTGAGAATCAGTGCTGGACTAGAAAGGCACTAAAGACAAAATATTTTAATTTCAGCATATATCTGTAACTTTTTTTTTTTAATCCTCACCCGAGGACATTTTTCCATTTTTTGTACAGAGTGGGAGGGAGAGAGAGGAAGAGAGAGAGAGAGAAACATCGATGTGAAAGGGACACATCGAGTGGCTGCCACCCGCACGACCAACCAGGGCCGGGGACAAACTGCAACCAAGGTACATGCCCTTAGCGGGAACCGAACCCGGGTCTCTCTGGACTGCAGGCGGGCGCTCTAACCGCTGAGCCAAACCGGCCAGGGCTGTAACTTTTGTTTTTTGTCTTCTATTGAGATATACTGTAAAGTGCAGAAATAATAGAGTACAACTCAATGAAATGCTATGTATATTAATACTGTTTTTATTTTGAATCCACATTGGACTTCCAGGAACCTTTTCAGGGTTTGGGACCTCTGAAGAGATTCAAGCTGTGAAGGAAATACTGTTTTTAGTGGATAGTTCTTTATTCCCAGGACACAGCCTTCAACCACCATGATTGTTCTCTGTTTAATTTTGTATTGATTTAGTTGGCCTTGAAAGCTACTGTTACTTCCAGTTGTTGGATATTAGCTATTTTATTCCTCTCTTTGTCCTTTCTTTCCTATTCAATGACTTTTACCACTTTACCACTATGGAAACACGTTTTAATTTGGAAACCTTGTGTTGTAGAGAAAAAACTCAATTGCTTCGCAAGTTTGTGATAGAGGAAACATTTTGTGCAGTAAGACAGCTTTGGCCACATTTTTGGAATACTTTTAGGCCCAAACCAATGCTTGGCTGGACAAGGTACTACTTTAAAAATGATTCTCAGCCCTGGCCGGTTTGGCTCAGCGGTTGGAGCATTGGCCTGCGGTACAGAGAGACCCGGGTTCAGTTCCCGCTAAGGGCACGTACCTCGGTTGCAGTTTGTCCCCGGCCCTGGTTGGTCGTGCGGGTGGCAGCCACTCGATGTGTCCCTTCACGTCGATGTTTCTCTCTCTCTCTCTTCCTCTCTCTCCCTCCTGCTCTATCTGAACAGAAAATGGAAAAATGTCCTCGGGTGAGGATAAAAAAAAAATGATTCTCAGTGCTCTCTCTGGTGGCTGAGCTACTGCATGGCTTTTTAAGGAAAGGTACAAATTCTACACTGGAGATTGTTTTGAAATTGAAAAAATTTTTTAAAGAACAAAATAACAATGAAACCAAACAACCCCCTTGTACACATTATTCTTCTTTATTAAAACATTGAAATTTGTGATTTTTCCTACTTGCCAACACACTTCTATCAAAACAAGTCTTCTCAATTATGAAAAATGAACAAGATAAATAGGACTCTCCTGCCTAATGCTTTAAGACAGGCTCCTTTAGAAGCTGCGGATAGTGGTGAAATACAGTAGTAATATAATGGCAAATTACGTAGTTTGAAGGAATTAAAGCTTCTAAAGAGTATAAAACATAAGATGATTCTTTATGCTTCTTACCATCTTGCTCTGTGCCCACTGTCTGTTCTGAAAGCAATGTTAGTAGTCAAGGTGTGCTCAGTTTGGGGAAAGTATTTATAGAAAAAAAATGAGTTTTCTACACAATAGAAAAATTAGTGCTTGTATACATTTGCGATAAAATAGGTTTTTTTGGAAATTACACTGCTTCATTCAAGTCTGTTTCAAGGTATTAAAATAATTAGTTTTTTAAGACAAAAGATTTTAAATGAGACTGTTATGCATTAAAGGCCGGCAGTGGGGATGGGCCAGGATCGCCCTGGCCGTCTCCTCCCAGTGGGCCGCGGGCTCAGCAGGCACTTCAGGCCCTGGCCAGGCCTGCCTCCCTGTCTGCTCCACGCCCCACCCCTGGCGGTGGGTCGGTGGCCAGCTGCTGCTGTCCGGGCTCCGCCTTTTCCTCCTCCACCTTGGCCTTGGCTTCTGTGGCACCAAGTGCTGGGCTTGTTGTTTGGACCGGCGGGACTGCTGGCGCGAGAAGTCACAGCTGACTCTGCCAGACCTTGGAGCATGCGCTCAGCTACCTCCTTCCGTTGTAGCTGGTGCGCTTGGTTCCTCAGGTCCTGGATGTCTCAACTGGCGTGACACAAGACTGCCAGGAGCATCCAGGCAACATGACCTGCAGCCTCCCAATGGGCCCTTTGAATGTTCCGTTCCAGTGTTTCCAAAGCCTTCCGTACCTGGTCAGGCTGGGAACGTACAGTGTCCCAGTCTTCTGGTGCCATCCCGGCCATCAGGTACACTGCCCCTGGGTACCAGAGGTACCCATCCACCTGAGTCTTCTCCTGGCTAGGGGCTGTTGGGGTACCCACCTCAGCGTCTACTCCAAGTGTCATTGATGGGGGATGCAGGGGAGGTTTCGGAGGTGAGATACCCAGTGTAAAGAAAGCTGCAGAGCCCACATCAGGAGGAAGCAGCAGCCGCTGCAGCAGCGGCATTTAAAAAAAATCCTTACCTGAGGATACTTTTTTTCCCCATTTATTTTCAGATAGAGTGGGAGAGAGGGGGAGGGGGGGAGACAAAGGAGAGAGAGAAACATTGTGTGAGAGAGACATATCGATTGTTTGCCTCCCACACACCCTGACCAGGGCCCTGGACCAAACTGTAACCGAGGTATGTGCCCTTTACCAGAATTGAACCCACAGCTCTTTAATCTGCAGACCAACGCTCTAACCACTGAGCCAAACCAGTCAGGGCAATGGCCATTTTTTAATTGGATTGTTTGTCTTACTTTTCTTGAGTTGTATAAGTTCTTTATATATTTTAGAAATTAACTCCTTATCAGATAGTATCATTGGTAAGTATGTTCTCCCATACTGTGGGTTCCCTTTTCATTTTGACGATGATTTTCTTTGCTATACAGAAGCTTTTTAGTTTAATGTAGTCCCATTTGTTTATTTTTTCCTGTGTTTCCCTTGCCCTAAGAGATATATCAGCAAAAATATTGCTACATGAGATGTCTGAGATTTTACTACCTATGTTTTGTTCTAGGATATTTATGGTTTTGTGACTTACATTTAAGGCTTTTATCAATTTGGAGTTTATTCTTGTTTATGGTGTAAATTGATGCTCTAGTTTCTTATTTTTGCATATACCTGTCAAATTTTCCCAACACCATTTATTGAAGAGACTTGTTACTCCATTGTGTGCTCTTGCCTCCTTTGACAAATATTAATTGACCATAAAGGCTTGGGTTGATTTCTGTGCTTTCTGTTGTTTCATTGATCTGTATTTCTGTTCTTCTGCTGGTACCAGGCTGTTTTGATTATAATGTCTGTGTAGTATAGTTTGATATCAGATATTGTGACCCCTCCAACTTTGTTCTTCATTCTCAACAGTGCTGAGGTTGTTTGGGGTCTTTATTGGTTCCATATAAAGTTTTGGAATATTTATTCTAGATCTGTGAAATATACCATTGGTATTTTAATAGGAATTGCATTGAGTCTATAGATTGCTTTGGGTAGTATGTACATTTTAATGATGTTGATTCTTCCAATCCATGAACATGGTACATGCTGCCACTTGTTTGTATTTTCCTCAGTTTCTTTCTTCAATGTCCATAGTTTTCCAAGTACAGGTCTTTTACCTCCTTGTTTAATTTTAATCCTAGGCATCTTATTTTTTTGTTTTTGCAATGGCAAATGGGATTGTTTTCTTTCTGAGTGTTCATTATTAGTCTATAAAACTGCTACCCATTTCTGGATATTAATTTTGTATCCTGGTACTTTGCCGAATTTATTTATTAAATCTGGTAGTTTTTTAGTGGAGTCTTTAGGGTTTTCTGTGTACAATATCATCTTATTTGCAAATAATGACAGGTTTACTTCCTCTTTTCCAATATGTATGCCTTTTAGTTATTCTTGTCTTATCCCTGTGGCTAGGACTTCCAGTACTAAGAATAGGAGTGGTGGAAGTGGACATCTCTGTCTTGTTCCTGATCTTAAGGGAAATGCTTTTAGTTTTTTCTCATTGAGTATGATGTTGGCTGTGGGTTTGTCATATATGACCATTATTATGTTGAAGTATGATCCCTCTATTCCCACTTTGCTGAGAGTTTTTATCATAAATGGGTACTGGGTTTTACTGAATGCTTTTCTGCATTTATTGATATGATCATGTGATTTAAAAATATATTTATTGATATTTTAGAGAGAGAGGAAGGGAGAGAGAGATGTAAACATCAATGTGAGGGAGAAACATCAATCAGCTACCTCCTGCACAACCTTGCTGGGGATGGAGCCTGCAACCTGGGCATGTGCACTGACTGGGAATTGAACTGGGACGTCTCAAATCATGGGATGACGCTCAATCCACTGAGTGACACCTGCTGAGCTGATTTTTATCCTTCACTTATATATATGATGTACCACATTTTGTGAATATTGTACCAGCTTTGTATCCGCAGAATAAATGCCCCATGGTCATGGTGTATGATCTTTTTAGTGAATTCCTGAATCTAATTTGCTAACATTTTGTTGATTATTTTAGCATTTATGTTTATCAGGAATATTAGCCTGTACTTTTCTTTCTTTGTAGTATCTTTATCTGGTTTTGGAATTAGGATAATACCGGCATCTTAAAAAGAGCTTGGAAGTCTTCCCTCCTCTTCAATTGTTTGGAATAGTTTGAGGAGGATAGGTGTTAGTTCGTCTTTGAATATTTGTTTAAAATTGCCTGTGAAGCCATTGGTTCAAGACTTTTGGCCCTGGCCGGTTTGGCTCAGCGGTTAGAGCCTCAGCCTGTGGTCCAGAGAGACCCAGGTTTGGATCCTGCTAAGGGCACGTACTTGGGTTGTGGTTTGTCCCCGGCCCTGGTTGGGTAGTATTGGTGGCAACCACTCGATGTGTCCCTTTCACGTTGATGTTTCTCTCTCTCTCTCTCCCTCCCACTCTATCTGAACAAAATATG